ACCAGATTTTTACGTTTGCCAAATTTTAACTTTCCTAAATAAGATTCACTATCTTATATCTGAACAGTCAATACCTCTGGATAAACAAATTGGAATGCTAACATCTGGCAAATTTTACCGTTAATATGTCGTTATCCTTATTCCACCTGCAGGAATGGAATTTTTATAACCATATATTCCTTAGTTAATTATGATTTATAATGATTGAAATCTGACCAATATTTATCCAGATATATATTCCTGCTATAAGTAAAAATGTATTAATTTAAATTTAATTAAATAAAACCAGCATAATTACCAGTTATGTTGTAGATTTTCTCTCAGATGTGTAGATATGTCCCAGGAATTTCTAATGCAAGTATGATGTATAGAGAATTGTATGTAAATAGTTCTGAAATTTTGTTAGTTGGCAAAGGTAATAGTAAGAATTAGGTGTCTCCAAGAGAGAGTTGAGAGTTTCTTGAGTACAGTCCAAGTCAGAATATGTTTCAAAGAGAGTTTGAATGTTTCACAGAGACAAATTTCCCAAAGAGCCGAATCTTCCAAAGAGCTGAATCTTCCAAAGAGCTGAATCTTTGAATCCCCCTCTCTTCCCTTTGTCCTTACTTTTTAAAGGGAAATATTTTCTGCACGTCACTAGTTGATAGGACCAATAGGGGACTGTAGGTGTGTCTTCCTTACAGACCATTGTGACAAGACCAATCTCGCCACATTGCATTGGAGAAGCCTGGTTGCTTGCCTGTTGCCTTTGGATTATGGCCCCATGTTAAAAGGCTTGATTTTCCCCTGCAAAGACATGAAAGCCAGGTCATTTGGTGCCTGCCCTGTTTGAGCGGTGATACTTCAGATAGCTATGCCATGGAGCCCATTCGTATAATGAAAGACTATGGGAAAGACTTTGGCTCCATGGCAATTGAACTGTATGTGTGTGATCTGAGCGCCATTCAGTAATAATGTGCGCTCAGATCTGAGCTATCTGGGGATATGTTGAATATACCTGTTTTGTGCAATGGCTGCACAGTTATATGTTTTTATGTGTTTTATTGTCTTTTGCTGCCATGTGTTCAATGGAGTTTTGCCTCTGTCGTTGGAGATAATTGGATTACTCCCAATTATCTCCAGGATAGAAGACTCTGTGGAACTGGTTTTGGGCAGAAAAGCCATGCTTCCTTTGGTCTTTTGAACCACTGGACCAATTTGTATGATTTTGACGTATGTTTGTATTTGGAGTATGCTGATTCGGAAAAGTTAAATGTGAATGTGATGCATACTTTTCAAGTTATGAATAATGTGGAAAAATTGTATTTATCTGCTTGTTATAATTACATTACCCATTGTGTAAGGTAATTGAATCACAGGCAGAGGGGAGGATTTTGTGTGGGTGTGTCTGAGTGTATGTGTTTATTGGTTGTGTTCCAAAACCCTGTGGGTGGTACTAATGTGTAAGAATGTGTACATAAGAACAATAAACCCACAGCTCTGTCTGACCACTGCTTGACCCCCAACACGGAGCCTTGTCTCGTCTTTGGGGGGATTTACTGAATGCTGATAGAGACTGATTGCTAGGAGTGTAAACTGCTTGGATGCTTTTCCTATTCGTCTGCTAGCAGCGATTAGTATGGTTCCAGTTCGTGTGTTTGGAGAGCTACATTGGATGCCGTTCGGGAGTTTGGAGCATTCCCTTATTGGCGGTTCGTGAGTTTGGTGTTTTACAATAGCTGTGCCTGCATCTCTGGAAAGGGGGACGATCGCCTAAACGGTTTTTACCCCTTGTGTGCAAAACGGTCCGTAACAACCATCATCTAGTTTTTGGTCAGTAGGTGGCGCAATTACATCACCAAAATGTCTTATCAGGGGGTCCATTTGCCTTTTTGCATAATGGGTTAACTGAAATTGGTGCTTTTTACGTCATTTTCTGGTTATCTTTATGTCTGCTATCAATCGCAAGACACGTCACTTCAAGTCATTGGTTCACTCTTATGCCAGACAGAGCGTCTGCAATTTCAATCGTAATTTTAGAATTAACACCTCCTAACCTTAATTTTTTAATTTGTTTTTCTTACAATGGAACTAGTAATGTTTCGTTCATTTAAAAAAAAAAAAAAAAGTAAAATTTATTACTTAATGCTATCTGTCATTGGTGTCTGGTTTTCTTTTGTGAAACTGTATTAAGATTATTTATACTCCACTAACATTAGTCATAATATGATATTTCTTCATTGATATTTATCCATGAATAGTCTATATTATTAGCATGATGCTAATTATATATATTTAATATAATAATAGTAAATTATAAGTGGATATTGTGTATATGTATTGTGATCCTTGTCAGCAAGTAGCACGGTCCTCTAGGGCAAAACATGCACAGTCTTTTAATGTAACTTCATTCCAGGCACTTTATTTGTAAGTTTACATATGAGGCAGCAGCAAATGAAAACATAAATATAACAGGTTTCCCTTTAAACAAAAACCTAGCTCGTCTGAGCACTGACTCACTTTGAATATCCCTCTCTATCAGGGTTAAACTAACAAAAACATATTGCACCAACCTGCTAGCTAGCCTGTTGCTTTTCTTTCTCCACTCCCAGTGCTCCAAGCCAGCCTTGCCCTGACTGCTTTTCTTTCTGCACTCCCAGTGCTCCAAGCCAGCCTTGCCCTGACTGCTTTCCTTTCTGCACTCCCAGTGCTCCAAGCCAGCCTTGACTGCTTCCTCCTGCACTCCCAGTGCTCAAAGCCAGCCTCGACTGCTTCCTTTCTGCACTTCCAGTGCCTAGTCTCCTTGACTCTCTATCTGGAGAGAACAGCCTCTCTCCTACCTGCTTCCTGGGAGGAAGCCAGCAATTCCCCCCTTTTACCTGCCTAGCAGGGAGGGGTTTATTCCCACTGCAACAGCTGATTAACTGCAGCTGAGCAGTGGGTTGGAGACGGTCCAAAAAACCCTGGCCTGGATCTATGTCTCCCCAGAAAACCACTAAACTGTGGAGTGGAGCATTGGCCCACCCTTCTCTCCAAATGCTCCACCCCAGGGGCCCATAACTAAACAAAGCTTTGTGTTGTGCAACACACAAACTACACATACTTCCCCTGGGGTTAAAAGGCCTATCTGCCTTCACTTTATCACAGTATATATATGTATACATTTGTTTCTGGGTTAGTTACATTCCTTCGCACAGACTTTCATTAATAGAGTGATAGAAAGAAATCTTGTGTCTGTCTTAGCCTTGTAATACAAAATGGAGTCACCTCTGTTTTTAATTTCTATCTCAACACAAAATGTCTGCCGATATAAATCTACTGACTGGTTCATCAATGTCTGACTCAGATGAAAAGGTAGGTTTCTCTACCCTGTATGTTTTCTTCTATGTGTACTGCGGTTGTTTTTCCCGTACATTCCTACTACAACAGACCCGTCTGAGGTGGCCCATTTTTCCACAGCGATGACAAGGTTGGTCTTTAAAGCTGGCTGGCTGCTCTGTGGCTGGATGCTCTGTGGTTATTGGAAGGGAAAGATTAGCGCTAAGATATCTGGCTAGGGAAGGTAGTATGTATAGAGGCGGCAGCTAACCCCTAAAGTAGGGATCCCTCTAGTCCTACTAATGGAAATAAAACAAAAAAATGGAGGGGTAGCGCCACAATTTTTAAAATATACAGTATAGAGTAATGAATAAATAGAAACACTTAGGAAGCTATAATATAGCACACAGGTATATATATTGAAGTCCCAAAAGGGTAAAAAAATCCAATATTTGAATGTCCAAGTTTGTAGTATGAAAATACACTTGCCAAAAGTGCTTGTCCACAAAGTGTCTGCGTAATTCCTCAATGGGAGTACCAGGGTAAGTTCAGCAGTGGAATCCGTATGAAACAGAAAAAATAATAATAGGGTAGTATGTTCTAACAGGGAACAACTAAAAGAAATAAGATAGTCCTACTCACGTTTTATGGAGCTGTAACTAGCTCCAGTATGAATGGCATACATTGGTACAATCCCCACTTGCAAGACTACGTAAGAGTAGTGTCTTTGTAGTATAAAGACTATAAAATGTAAAACAATAGTGCTTTCTGTATAAAATACCAGGAATTAAAAATGAATGAACGTACTCACATTTACCAGAGCAGGCGAACTGCTCTGTGGATAGGGCGTGTGTGGTATAATCCCCACCAAGGATGTCTTGAGTAGTACTCACAGGAGGTAAAAATCAGGTGCAAGTATGAAGTAAATAATAATAATGAAATGTAGAAAAAGAGTAAAATTGTACACTCTATAAAGTGTATAAGCTAAAATACATTTATTCTTACAAATATAAAACAGCATATGAAGTAACCACAACTACCCTATTATTCCTTTTTTTTGTTTCATACGGATTCCACTGCTGAACTTACCCCAGTGGTGGATCCAGAGCCTGATCTCGGGAGGGGTACTTGTAGATTATTTAAAGAAATAACCCAGACACAATAACCACTACAGCTCAGTGTAGTAGTTATGGTGCCAGTAGTGCCAGGATCCCATCCCAGAGTAAGTAGTCAAACCATTTAAGAACAGTTTGACAACTTACCTGGGGTCTGCTGGGGTATAGGGCATAGGAGCAGTGGTATGTGTTAGGGGTGAAGTATGTATTAAAGGTGAAGTGTGTGCGTGAGGGCGGCATTGTATGTCAGGGTTGCAGTGTGTGTGTTAGGGGGCAGTGTATGTGTGGGGCAGTGTGTGTGAGTGGTGTAGTGTGTATGTGAGGGGGCAGTGTGTGTGAGAGTTGCAGTGTATGTGTGTTTGGGGCAGTGTGTGTATGGGGGGACACTGTATGTTTAGTAATGGGGCAGTGTGTGTATGGGGGAGCACTGTATGTGTGTGTGTGGGGC